GTCCCCCGGCCGCCGCGGCTCCGGCGCCGGCCAGCCGCCGCAGGGCAAGCCCGACGCGACGCCGCCGCCGCCGCCGCCGCGGCGGCGCCGCCACATCGTCATCATCCGCAAGACGCTCATGCCCACCGCGGAGCAGCTGGCGTCGCTGCCGCTCCGCTTCGGCTCCAACACCATCTCTTTCCGCTGCTCCGCCGGCGGCGCGGCGCCGCTCAGCGCGTACGTCTACTACTACCCTTGGAACGCGCGCCTCGTGATCTCCGACGTCGACGGCACGATCACGCGCAGCGACATCCTCGGGCACGTGCTGCCGAAGCTCGGCGTCGACTGGTCGCACCCGGGCATCACGCAGCTGTTCCACAACGTCGCGGCCAACGGGTACCAGATCATGTTCCTCAGCAGCCGCGCGATCGCGCAAGCCAACATCACGCGGGAGTACCTGCACAAGCTGACGCAGAACGGCTACAAGATGCCGAGCGGCCCCGTCATCATCAGCCCGCACGGCCTGCTGCCGTCGCTGTACAGGTGCGCATGTGTGCGGGCGGAAGCCGGTGCAAGCCTGGCGCCTGGGGCCGCCTGGTCCGCAGGGGCCGGGGAGCCTGGAGGGTGTCTTAGTGTGTCCGAGGCTGGGGATGCTTCTTGCCCTTGGAAGCAACGGCTGGCACCTTGAGTGGCCTGGCCAAGCGGCCTCACCCCCATTCCCTGATTGATACTCTGTTGAGCAGCGTCGATTCAATCCAACCAACGCCTCACCTCATCGTCACCACGCCGGCCTCACCCGCACCACCCCCAACAGGGAGATGATCCTGCGCCGCCCCCACGAATTCAAGATCGCGTGCCTCGAGGACATCCGCGCCCTCTTCCCCCCCGAGTGGAACCCCTTCTACGCCGGCTTCGGCAATCGCGACACCGACACCGTGTCCTACAAGGAGGTCGGCGTGCCGCCGGCGCGCACATTCATCATAAACCCAAAGGGCCAAATCAGCAAGGGCAGCAGCGCGGTGCAGAGCAGCACGTGGAGCAGCCTGTCTGCCATAAACCAGCTGGTGGATGAGGTGTTCCCCGCGGTGCCGGTGCGGCTCTGATGGGGGCCGCGGGCTGTGTGGGGTTGGTGGGTGTGGCTGGCGGCTATGTGTGTTTGTGGGGCTGTGAGGGGCACGTGCACCCGGCATCTAGCCGAAATGCTTGCGGGGCGGGGTTGAGGGGGTGAGGGGGCGAGTGGGTGGTTATCTAATCAGGGGAGCAAGCCACCTGAGCCAGGAGGCGAGTGCAAACGGGTTGCTGCGCTCGGTCAAGCCTGGGCACGCTGGTGTGGCTGGGGGCGATCGCGGGCCGCAACCACCCCTGGTGTGCGGAGCGCCGAGTGTTGCCTATGCCATGCTTGAAGACTTTGGACCAACCTCCGCCTGGCGGTGCGGACGCCACCAATGCAGGAGATGCTCAACATCATGCGCGGCGCGTCGAGCGGCATGCGCGCCGCCGCGCACGCCGCGGTTGCGGCCGAGCGGCTGTTGTCCGCGCTGCAGTCCCCGCGCGGCCGCGAGGGCGCGGACGACCCCGACTTTGACGAACAGCAGGAGGATGAGTATGGGGACCACCAGCAGCAGCAACAGGGCGCGACACAGGATCAGCAGCAGCAGCAACAGCAGCAGCAGCTCAGGCCGCAGCAGGAGCAGGGCCACCAGCAGCAGTCGCACAGGCAGGGCCAGGAGCGGGCCGGCTCCGCCCAGGTCACCAGGGAAGGGGCCTCGCGGTTCGGCACGGCTGCGGGCGCGGTCGGCAGCAGGGGCCCCAGCAGCGCGGGCGGCGGCTCGCCGACGGCGTCCGCGGGCGGCTCCGCGCGCGGGGGGCGCGCGCGGCTGGTGGCGCCGAGCGCGGCCGGGCCTCAGAGGGACGAGTTCAACGATGCACAGTGAGCGGCCCGCCACGCCTTGGCTGGTTATGGGATTCTCTCTTTTGAAAAGACCTCTTAGTATGCGCAGACTCGCCTCCGCTCAGACTGCAGGGCCGGAGCCTTGGATGGTGGCCGTTCCTCATCAAGCGGAACCGCGCCTGCCCCGCCGCTGTCTCAACCGTCACCGCAGGTACTGGCGCCCCACCCTGTCCTTTGACATTGACAGCGAGCTCCAGGCGGCACTGGCGGGGGCCAGCAGGGGCAGCTCGCGGCGCTCGTCCGCGCAGGCCGCATCGGAGGGCGGCGCGGCCGCGGGCGGGGGCGCGGGCGCGGGCGGGACCGGCGGCGGCCTTGCCCTTAGCGCCGCTAGCGGGGCGCCAGCGGCGCGCTGACGACGGCTGCCTGTTGTGGGGTGCTGCCGGCGGGGCAGCGTGGGCGGCCGCCGCCCAGGGTAGGTACTCAGGGTGCCGAGCACACACGTGCCGGGCTGCCCTGTTGCCACTTGGGGGGAGTAGGCAGCCCGTAGATCGCAGCAGTGCATCTATGGTGTGTCCTGGGGGTGTGGCGGGAACAATACAAGTCGGGCAGCTGCGCTGATGGGGCTAGGCTTTTGAGTTGCGCTTCCTGGCTAATTGCCACTTTACACATCCTTCAATGCAACACACAGCGGGGGGCTGACCAGGCAGGCAGCCCCATCACAGCGCAGAAAGCTCTTGCCATGTTTACGCGCCCACACGTTTTTATTCGCCGGCTGAATGCAACGCCACCCCTGCCCTTAAAATGTCGGCGGCCTCCCACGGCTGCAGCGAGAGTGACAACGGATCGCCGCTGCTCTTGAGTGCCTCCCCACCTTTGAAATGTACCTGCAAATTTTTGGCGTGCATCGTGCATGCACGCATGTCTGTAAGTGAGATTGCACTGCTGCTGATTGTGTCCGGCGCACCGCCTGGAGCAGGGGGTATGATGCTGAAGTGCGTGCGGATGTCATGTCAATTCAATACTCCATGCCAATGCAAGCAAGTGCCATACAAGTGCCAGGTATGGCTGCCCTGGCCCCGGAGCCGAGGCGTGACGCCCGCGACTTATTGCTCAGTGCTGACGTGCCGCCCCGTGGGTGGCCCACCCACGCACGGGCCGGGCAGGGCTCCTCCACTGCCGCCTCTATGTGACTGCGTCATGCACTCTTCAACGATACACGCAGTCGTTGCACTCCTTCTCCGCACGTACGCGAGGAACCACAAGCACAAAGGCCTGGCATACGGTAGCAATAGCCATCCCGCGATCCTTGATCTCTTTCCTGCAATCTCAGCGCACCACACGCACAGTGCCTACTTACACAATGTTGCAGCGTTGTCCAGTTATCCAACATTGCAATTATGCAGCGCAAAGCTGGGCCCCGGCCATGGCGTGCCAGCATCGCCCGCACCGACGAGCCACGGCAGTGCACACCTCAGCAGCAGGGGGTAGCCCCCAGCGGCGGGACGACGCCCCTCCCCGGCTTGGACGCCGCACGCTGCTGGGTGCGTCCCCGAGTGCATCCATCTGGGGGGGCCTATGTGACAGGCACTTGACAGTGAGGAGCACATACACATGCACGCACCGGCCACACTCCCGCAGGAAGCATGGCGCCCGTCATGTGCTGCGGCTGCCCCGGCTGCAGCAGCGCCTCACAAAGGGAGCGGCGCGCCGAGTGGTATGACAAGTGAGCTCGCCGGTTTCCAGTCAACACCTCCCCTTTTCGCCAGCCCGCCTGCAGCAAAGCCGGCCTGGCGCCCTGCTCCAGCAAACTTGGCTGGCCGCGTCTTCGCATGCACCTCTTGTCGCCATCTCGAATCCATAACCCTCGCAGCCGCCCGCTTGCACCGCGGGTCATTCCACCATCCCCATGGACCGGATACTACATGTGGTGCACCAATGTGACCCCATCACAGGTACTTTGCGCAGGCCATGCACACCACCATGGGCACATACGAGGCCGCCATTGCGCCCGTCAAGGAGGAGCTCTTCCAGCGCCTGCTGGGGCCGGCGCCCGGCTGTGGCGGCAGCAGCGGTGGCAGCAGCGGTGGCAGCAGCGCCAGCGGCGACGGCGGCGGCAGCAGTGGTGGCAGCGGCGGCGGCCGGGGGCTCCGTCTGCTTGAGATCGGCATAGGCACAGGTTGGAGTTCCTCCAGTGTTGAGTGAAGATTCTTGCGTACAATTCAAATAATCCAGGCATGCGAATTGTCCCTGTCCCGTCTGTCTGCCTTCTATTCTTACCCCTGCTGTAAGGGCGCAAGGGCGACGCCGCTGCCAAGCCGGGGCATGGCAGCGCAGGAGCCCCACTGTGGCACCCAACCCGCCACTCAAGATGGAGCGTCCCAGTCACCCCACCCTACCCTGGCATCGACAGGCGCACCAAATATCCCTCCCAAGCAGGCGCCTATCAAACTCCCCCGCAGGGTTTGCACATTTGAATGCAACACACTATCAACCAACCTACCAACCACCCAATCAACCAACCAACCAACCAACCAACCAACCAACCAACCAACCAACCAACCAACCAACCAACCAACCAACCAACCAACCAACCAACCAATGCCATCTGATCAACCAACCAACCGACCAACGCAACCAACCCTCCCCATGACCCACTCTTGCATCAGGCCCAAACCTCTCATACATGGCGCGGGCCCTCGGCCCCGACGGCCTGCCAGCCCTGCACATCACCGGCCTCGACCCCAACCCTCAAATGCAGCCCTTCTGCCGCGAGTCGGCCGCGGCGGCGGGGCTGGGCCCGGGGCAGCTCGAGTTGGTCGAGGGCAGCGCAGAGGCGATGCCGTTTGAGGACGGCGCATTTGATGCGGCAGTGATCACTCTGGTGAGGCAAGAGCGCGAGGCAGACGCACTCCCCGGTTGTCCCATGGGGGTGTTAGCGGTGGTTCCCTCGGCCTGTCAGGGTCGAGTGGCGCGGGGGAGGTTCATTCTTGGGCAGAAGGACAGCGGCTTATTCCAGGATCAGGACCGTGCTGCGAACGCGGCGATGGCTGCCTGGCTTGAGGCTGCACAGGCTGCCATTGATCGCCACCGCACACGTCGATTCATGCGGTTCATCTCGTCGACTTCGGCATGCGTGCGCGGCAGGTGCTGTGCTCCGTCCCGTCGCCCGCCGCGGCGCTGTCTGAGGTTCGCCGCGTCGTCGCGCCCGGCGGGCGGCTGGCGCTGATCGAGCACGTCGCGGCGCCACCGTCGAAGCCGCTGCTGGCGCTGGGGCAGCGCGTGTTCGACCCGCTGCAGGGCCTCGTGGCGGACGGGTGGGCGGCGCGGGGTGCATTCGGGCCCTCCACCAGCCTCCAGATGAGATGTCTCTGCGGTTTGCTGTTTGCACCCTGGGTTGATGATTTCCACAATGATCATGCGAGGCCATAGGGACCAAACTTCATACTGGACGCGACTGCACGGGCCTTGCCGCCTCCCGACCGTCCTAAATTCTCCTCCACTCGCACTGAATGGAACGTAATCGGCCTTGTCGCCCCAGGTGCCACCTCACGCGCGACACCGGGCGTGCGCTGCGCGAGGGCGGCTTCGACGCGTCTGGCGTGAGGAGCTTCGAGGTCCCGGGGCTGTCGATCCTGGCGCCACACATCGCCGGCATCGTGCAGCTGTGACGCGCTGCTAAACGGCCAGGCGCCGCCGGGCTGGCTCTCGCAACAAGCGCTTTTGAAGGGTGAAGACAGTTGGGCTGTACACGTTCATTTAGTAAGCGGTACCAACTGTTGGTGTGGGATGCGCCTGTACCGTTGCCGGCTGGGCCGACAGCACAGCCCTGCAACTTTGGGACTGGCAATCCCTCCGTTTCCAACGACCCCGCTGCAACCGGCCAGGGTCAGGCCTGGGCTGGACAGAGGCTTGTGGCGTGTTACACAGGGCGGGTTTGAGCGGAATGGTCAGCAGGAGGGGGCGCCCTCCGCCAACTCTCGCGAGCGCCGCCAAAATTTGCAGAGCGCAAGGATTTATTGATATCACCTCGCCCCTGCCCCGCGCCGCAACAGCCAGCATGTCAATGTGGACGGGTGGGGGCCACAGCTGAGAGCCGCACTGCTGCTGGCAGTGCCCGCAGTGACAAGACGCTGTCATAGCCAAGCCGGGAAACACGCACCGGCCGACTGATCGGCTCAGGGTGCATCGTCAGCAGTGAGCAGTGAGCAACCGGCAAGGCGGCGAGCAGCAGAGCGGCGGCGCGGTGGGACAGACGCCCGGTCATCACTCGCGCTCGAGCCGCCATCCCCCAGAAAAAAATGTTGCAAGGGCACGCGCGACAAGCCGCAAAGTCGTACCCATGCTGAAACGCCCCACACACAACGCTGCGACAACAGCGGGCACTTGCTGCATTGCTCTGAGCGGGCCGGCAGCCAGGAAACCGGCCGGCGCAGCTTTCGCATGTCTTGCACGTCCAACGTGGGAACATGATCACAAAAAACGCAGCGGAAAACCATACTGTGCCCACGAGGTCAAAGTCAACCGAGAGGGGCGAGGGCAAGGCCGTCGCCCCTTGCTCGTTGTGGTTTTTATCAAAAGCACGCTTCAAGGTGTAGATGTGGACACAAGGCCGGACGGTGGTGCGACGGCGCACCGCTTGACCGGGACCCAAGTCGAACAGACACCAAAAGGCGCCGGCCCCTCGCAGGCGCCAGCCTGAGTCGCTGGCCCCCCGCCCGCCAGCGCAGCCCCCAGCCAGCAGCCTCGGCTCGCTGCTTAGTAGCCCACACCAGCCCCGCCTTATGCGCGGCGGGCGGCCGAGGCCCCGCCTCCAAAACGTAGCCGCGTCATTTGGCGTCGTACCATGTGTCCGCAGCCTTGCAGTCCACCACCAGCTCCACCCGCAGCGGCCGGCCCTCGAAGCTGTGCCCCAGGTTGGCCCAGGGGTTCTCCATGGCGGCGATGACGCGCTGGCGCGCCTCGGCCGCGCTCTCCTTGGGGCCCTCCAGCATCACCTCGTCGTGGACCTGGGGGGGGGGGCGGCCACGGTGGCCGGTTGGTCGGTTGGTCGGTTGGTCGCTTGGTCGGTTGGTTGATTGGTCTGTTGGCTGGTTGGTTGGTGGGTTGATTGGTTTGTGATTGAGTGGGTATGGGGGTGGTTGGTTGCTATGGGGCCGCTCGCCGCGGGGTTGATTGGCGGGCGGCTGGCCGAGGAGGCTGGTGCTGTGGATGTGCTGGCGCAGGGAGTTTAATCGCCGCGGATGAGATGCCGACATGAATCGGTGCAGGTCGAGCCGAGGGACGTGCCATCACCCCCCAAACAACCGCTTGGCGGCCGGCCAACAGCAGCCGGACGGCCGTCGCGGCAAACGCCGCCGCACCTGCAGCAGCAGTCGCCAGCCATTCTCCCGCAGCCACTCGTCCCGCTGTATCGCCAGCATCGCGGCCGTCGCCACGTCGGCGGCGCTGCCCTGGATCGGCGTGTTGATGGCCGCGCGCTCCGCCCGCGAGCGCTCGAAGGCGCGCGGGCTGCTGATAGACGGCAGGTTGCGGCGGCGGCCCAGCATCGTGTTTACGTAGCCGTGGGCGCGCGCGTACGCGCGGGTCTCCTCCTGCCACTGCAGCAC